AAAGTAGCCAAATGGTAGCTAAAAGCTAACTGGTCAAAGCTGTTGCTGTAATCTGAAAGGAGCCAAATGGTAGCTAAAAGCTAACGGGTCAAAGCTGTTGCTGTAATCTGAAAGGAGACAAATGGTAGCTAAAAGCTAACGGGTCAAAGCTGTTGTTTTACTCTGAAAGTAGCCAAATGGTAGCTAAAAGCTAACGGGTCAAATCTGTTGCTGTAATCTGAAAGGAGCCAAATGGTAGCTAAAAGCTAACTGGTCAAAGCTGTTGCTTTACTCTGAAAGTAGCCAAATGGTAGCTAAAAGCTAACGGGTCAAAGCTGTTGCTGTAATCTGAAAGTAGCCAAATGTTAGCTTAAAGCTAATGGGTCAAAGCTGTTGCTGTAATCTGAAAGGAGCCAAATGGTAGCTAAATGCTAACTGGTCAAAGCTGTTGCTTTACTCTGAAAGTAGCCAAATGGTAGCTAAAAGCTAATGGGTCAAAGCTGTTGCTGTAATCTGAAAGCAGCCATATGTAGCTAATAGCTAACTGGTCAAAACTGTTACTGTAATCTTGAAGTAGCCAAATGGTGGCTTAAAGCTGATTGGTCAAAACTGTTGCTGTACTATGAAAGGAGCCAAATGGTAGCTAAAAGCTAACTGGTGAAAGCTGTTGCTTTATCAATCAACCTTTATTTATACAGGTAATCCCATTGAGCCTCGAGGACTCATTTACAAGAGAGACCTGATTTCAACCAAGAAAGATGACAACAATGGACAACAGCAAACTTACTTAACTCTTTACTCTGAAAGTAGCCAAATGGTAGCTGAAAGCTAACGGGTCAAAGCTGTTGCTGTAATCTGAAAGTAGCCAAACGGTAGCTTAAAGCTAACGGGTCAAAGCTGTTGCTGTAATCTGAAAGGAGCCAAATGGTAGCTAAATGCTAACTGGTCAAAACTTTTGCTTTACTCTGAAAGTAGCCAAATGGTAGCTAAAAGCTAACGGGTCAAAGCTGTTGCTGTAATCTGAAAGCAGCCATATGTAGCTAAAAGCTAACTGGTCAAAATTGTTACTGTAATTTTGAAGTAGCCAAATGGTGGCTAAAAGCTAACTGGTCAAAACTGTTACTGTAATCTTGAAGTAGCCAAATGGTAGCTAAAAGCTGATTGGTAAAAACTGTTGCTGTACCATGAAAGGAGCCAAATGGTAGCTAAAAGCTAACTGGTCAAAGCTGTTGCTTTACTCTGAAAGTAGCCAAATGGTAGCTAAAAGCTAACGGGTCAAAGATGTTGCTGCAATCTGAAAGTAGCCAAATGGTAGCTTAAAGCTAATGGGTCAAAGCTGTTGCTGTAATCTGAAAGGAGCCAAATGGTAGCTAAAAGCTAACTGGTCAAAGCTGCTGCTATACTCTGAAAGTAGCCAAATGGTAGCTAAAAGCTAACTGGTCAAAGCTGTTGCTGTAATCTGAAAGGAGCCAAATGGTAGCTAAATGCTAACTGGTCAAAGCTGTTGCTTTACTCTTAAAGTAGCCAAATGGTAGCTAAAAGCTAACGGGTCAAAGCTGTTGCTGTAATCTGAAAGCAGCCATATGTAGCTAAAAGCTAACTGGTCAAAACTGTTACTGTAATCTTGAAGTATCCAAATGGTGGCTAAAAGCTGATTGGTCAAAACTGTTGCTGTACTATGAAAGTATCCAAATGGTAGCTAAAAGCTTAAATGATTGAAACTGTTGCTATAATCTGAAAGTAGCCAAATGGTAGCTAAAAGCTAACTGGTCAAATCTGTTGCTGTAATCTGAAAGGAGCCAAATGGTAGCTAAAAGATAACG